CTCTCTCTCTCTCTCTCTCTCTCTCTCTCTCTCTCTCTCTCTCTCTCACACACACACACACACACACATATGACAACCAAAGATGTCTCTAGACATTGCCACATATTCCCGGTGGGAACAAAACCTGCCCCAGTTAGAGCCAGTGCAACAGACCAACATGCAGGTTTCATTCTGGAAATAGAGGAACAGATTTTGGGTTTCACATATATAATATGTCATAGTAGAGAAGCAAAGACCAACTCACATACTGCCACCTTTCCAACCAATGTCTGGAAGTCAAGTTATTCCCAGGTTCTCAGCTATTCCAGCAAGGTCATAAGCACCACTAACTTTCTACACTCAGGAGGATTTTATTCCCAGTGGACTGCTGGTGAACATAGCTGAACCAGCTTCCATGCCTGCTCTGGTTTCAGTTCTGTTGCTGTGATAAACATGACTATATTAGGGTCTTATTGGTGAGAATAGACACCATGCCCACAGCAACTCTTGTAAAGAAAAGCATTTAATTGGGGTTGGCTTACAGTTCAGAGGTTTAGGTCATTGTCATCATGAAGAGAAGTATGGCGGCATGCAGATAGACATGGTGCTGGAGACATAGGTGAAAGTTCTACACCTTGATCTGAAGGCAGCGGGAGGAGAGAGTAGACCCTGGTCCTGGCTTGAGCATCTGAAACCTCAAAGCTCACCCCCAGTGACACTCTTCTTCCAACAAGGCCACACCTACTCCAACAAGGCCACACCTCCTAATAGTGCCACTCCCTATGAGCCTATGGAGGCTATTTTCATTCAAACCACCATAATAACCAAATGCAACTTGGGGGATAGGAGGAAGGGTTGTTTCATCTTATACTTCCATGTGACAGTCCATCATGGAGGGAAATCTAGGCAGGAACTAAAGGAAAGATCATGAAGGAAGACTGCTATGGACTCGCCTTGATGGACTCAGCCCACATTCTTGTACAACCCACCTGCCTAGGGATGATATCACCCACACTGGGCTGGGCTCTCCCACACTGACATGCCCACAGGCCAATCTGATGCAGGAAACTCCTCAGCTGAGGTTCACTCTTCCTAGGTTGACCAAAAGTAAGTCGTAGCACCTGTGTTTGTAAAGTCCACTCCTGTTTCTTCTCCAGTACATGATAGAGTTCTGCTGAATAGGCAACATTCTTCTTGTAAACATTTTGTTCCATACAAGCTTGACTCTGTGCTGACCACTTGGGCCTTCTCCTGGGAAAAATTGTTCAGATGCAAGAACAGCATAAGTCAAGACAGTAATCTTCTCAAGATTACTTGAGAAGATGCCTCCCTAGCCTGGTTCTTTCTCCTGCCTTCATTGCCCTTGTCCAAGACAGTGCACAAGACAAACCTATACCCCACATCATTCAGTCTGAGTAATGTCAAGATGTCAGGAGTGCTAAGGATGAGAAGCCCTAGTTTTGATGCTCACATACCCATTGTGATTTCTGATCTTGATTTCATGCTGCAGAAAGAGCTAATAGGCCCACATCTGCATGCCTGTGAGCCTATTCACATAACCGTGGAGCTAAACTCAGTCCATTCCCGTGCAGCCTGTCCCTTTCAGCCTACATAGGGATACCTTACAAAGGTAGAGATACCTTACAAAGGGCAATTCAGTGTTGATCATCCACTCTCTAAGGAAGTTGGCCCCACATTACAACCTCCCACCTGCTCAGCATCATGCCCAAAGTCAGTTTCCCTGGGGCAATGATGAGCATATTCCCTGGGACAGAGAGTTGAGCTAAACCATAAATCCTTTCTCAGCATGAATGGCACCCATTTGCCAACCTTTAAATTGAAGCTTCTGCTATCTGTGTCTTACCATTCTTTCTGAGAGGGAAACTAATTTGGTCTCACAGGAATTTTTGTCACAAAACAATGACAGTTACCACTAATGCATTTCACAGTTTGTCATACCCATACTTTGCTTGCTTATATAAGCATAATTTCCATCATTTATGAAGCACTTACCATGTAGCTGGTGGTTTACATACCTTGCTTTATGTAATTTTATCATTACAACTCTGCAAGTCAAGTGATTTCTCCTCTCTATAGAAGGAACTGAGCTATAGAAAGGTGAATAATGTACCAAAGATCACACTTGTATTAGCTACTTTTCTCATTATTGAAACTGCTTACCTGACCAGAAGCAACTCGAGGGAGGAAAGGCTTGCTTTGGCTTACAGTTCACTGGGATATAATCCATCATGGTGAGAGCAACCAGGACAGCAAGCATATGAAGTGGCTGGAAGCTGAGAGAAGACATGAAGTGGGGCTGGGCTGTTAAAGCTCAAGCCCCACCCTCTGGACTCACTTCCTCCAGTTAGGCTCCACCTCCTAAAGGTTCTACACCCTTCCAAAACAGCTCTACCAACTGGGGACTAAGTGTGCCAAACATATGACCTTATGTGTGGGCACAGGGTGGGAGAGAGGCACCTCACATTCAAATCATTCGTATCAAAAAAAGCTGTGATATAAACCCAACTCACCTCCACAGTCCAGAGCTCATGTTTCTTGCGCCAAATACCCTCCTGACAAGACTTTCCATGATACTAGGAAGACAGTAGAGTCTGCATTTCTGAGCTCTGCCCTACTGATCATCTTACCTTCATGTCCCCAAGGACCCATTTCTTCCTGCTAGGTGGCCAGAGAACAATCCTCCAAAACACAAGTCAATCACACCTGACTTATGAGCTATCCTTTACCATGAGGCCCACTTTACCTGGGGCCAGCAGAATTTCTTAGCAGGGGTAGGTGACTATTGCCAAGGCTGACAAGCTGAGTTCAATTTTTCTGGGCCACCATAGTGGAAGGAGAGAACCTGCTCCCACGTGTTGTCCTCTGACTTACACACATACACACACACACACACACACACACACACACACACACACATACACACACACAAATAAGTAAGTAAGTAAGTAAATAAATAAATAAATATTTAGCTATGATTACAAACTGAACATCAAATGTGGCCTGAGCATTGGGACAAGTACCATCAAAGTGGCTCTGTCACATCCGTCATTCTGGAACTCGAAGCATGTAGATGTCCTCTCCCAGGATGACAGTCCTGGGGCCTATGTGGCTGGCATGGAGCCCTCAAAAATGCCTTTTTATGTTTGATAATTTATTGAAACTCCTGCTACTCTCTATGGTTTTGTTGTTTGACCCCTTAATGTATGCCAGGCGCTGCGCCAGGTACTTTACAGACATTATCTCATTCACTCTTCAAAAAGAAACTGTCTAAAACCCACGAACAGAGTGCTACCGCAATACACAGTGAGTGCACTGACACCCAGAGAG